AATTTTGAAAGAGATGCATCTTAGCTCTGGAAATTGTTATTGAATATGTCAATGCTGTTGTAATGAAATGCTTCTTCTAAGTATGTGGTTATTAAATAAATAATTAACTGGAAAAAGGAAAAAAATAAATAAAAAGACTTTAGTTTTGTTGCAAAAAAAATATTTAGACAATTGTTTCTCATTGATGATTTTGTTCCTAACCAGAAAGTGCTGCTCAGATGTAAGACTTCAAATCTTGGTCTCCAACTGTAGTATACACCTGTAGCTAAGGGAGACAACCAACTATTCTAAAATGATGGTTAAATTTGTTTTCTCCCCCTATCTAGGAGCCTTTGAGAGGGAACTGATACTGATTCTAACCACTCCAACAGCTATCAAAATACCTGAAAGCAAATCCTGAAGCCATCACTCTAGAGTCCAGCCTTAGAAGACAAAAGAAAAATGAGGAGGAACCCAATAGAGGGATGCTTTTGGAAGTCCTGGTCAAGAAATTCCAATGGACTCTCACGTGAACATTTGAAAATTGCCCTGTTCTGACTTTTTTGTAGTTCCCTGTCTAGAACTTGCAATACTAATTACTCTTGCCTTTACTTCTCCTTCACATCTCCTATTCAGGATGCAAAGACTTTCTTTTCCTCCTCGAGATAAGAGTTATGCAAGTTGGGAGTCTTTTAGATAGACCCACTGAAGGGGTACTCTGATTACCTCACCCTGTATCCCTGTTCAGCATGGTAGAAGCTAGAGTGGTCTGCATCCTGCTTCCCTATTGGCAGTTTGGGTAACCTCGTCAGATGATGGTGTGATAAGAACAGGAGGTAGGAATTGGCTTGGAAGTTAGGGTAAAAAGACCCCAAAGAAAATTAGCAAGTTTCTTGGCTAAAACTCACAATGTCCTTGGGCATTTTAGCAACACACTCTGTTCCAAAAGCCAAAAATGTTGAAAATATTTGGGCTCTTTTATCTAATCCTTAAAAGATTTTAGGGTTATCTCTTCAGAGGGGGGACTGTTAGAGTAGCCAAAAGCCCCATTAAAAAATAAGTAAATAAAAGAAGAAGAAAGAGTACATGAAGTTATCAAAAAAAGTGATGGGGAGAAATGGGAGGAGTTGGAGGGGAGGAAGTGGGCATGGATTTGATCAAAACACCTTATATGCATTATTATTTTAAAAAATTTATTTTAAAAAAATTCCAGAGATAGAGAGATATAAAAGTCCATGCATCTCCCCTTCAGTTTACCCTTCAGGTTCATATTCTCTTACCACCCTCCATTCAGACTAACCTCTGGCATACAAGTTTTGACTTTTTCCTTACTCTTTCACTTATGACCTGAGCAGCCTTGGGCAAGTTGTTTAATCACTTTATTGAACTCCTAGGTGTAAAACAGAAATAACAGTACTTATTTCATGCAGTAAGGATTAAGACCTTCAAAATTTAACAGGCTCAATAAGTTCTTGCTATTACATTTAATTGCATGAATTTGGCCATTAGGTATTCCTTGAGAGGAGGGACTGACTAATAACGGAACCATTCTCTACGCGTACTCAGTGAATGTTTGTTGAATACAGATAAGAGTTTTAGTCGCAGAAATAGCGGAAAGAGAGCGTTAGACTGAAGATATGAGTTTTCGCCTTTCTCTGGTTTCTTTGTTCCCTCATCTTGTCCACCCTCTACCTGTCAAAAGCTTAATCCCAAATGGCTAATAACCATTGTTTGTAACTCTTTGTACCATTCTTGTGCTTATTGGTGTTTTGAGTGGTAAATGAATATACATTAATGGTTTAAAAGATAGTGTTTAGGACATAATACAACTCATAAATGTCAACTCTTTCAATAATGTGTATATATAATACACAAAAACTGAGAGCAGTGTCCCACCAGCGAGGTCCTCAAGTCCTTGCAGGGAGAAACGCCTTGCACAGGCGTTTTCTAAAATGTGCATGGTTGATGGCTACATGTAATGAAGTTTTCCTATGTGTTGTTTTTCTCCTTAACTGTGTGCTGGCGATTAGCATCATTCTGGAAAAGATCTGCTCCTTTAGGGTAAAACTATGTGGTACTTTTCGGTTTACTTTAATGTGTCTGTGAAGCATAGCAGCCAAGGGTTGCGATCAGATGGTCCCAAATTTTTCCCTCCACACGTGTGTGTGTGTGTGTGTGTGTGTGTGTGTGTGTGTGTGTGTGCGTGTTTAGTTAAGCCTCTTCTCAGAACCCTGGGCGACCAGGGGTCAGCAGGTATGGAAAATAAGACATGAAGAGGTGTCATTTGACAATTTAGTCACACCGTAGGGCAGTGAAGACCCCATCTCCCAGTAGTTCACTAGCTAGTCATAACAGAGCCAAGCTCCCGGGCAACAGATGGGCACGCAGGCTGCCTGAGGCGCCCACGTCACACCAATTCGGGTACTTAGGAACAGGCGGAACCTTTGTCCTCATCTCGGTTTCCTGCGACTCCGCTCCTGCAGCTGCACTACTGAATGGACCGCCTCCTTCCCCCTCCCACGTTGGCCTATCCGGAGGAGTTCCGGAGTTAGAGGCTGAATTTCCAAGGAAGGATGAACGAACATCCTTATATCTGAGGCCAGGTTCTCCAACCAGCATCGCGTTCGAGAGGCCCCAGGAGTTCCCTCTGGGGAGGGTGATCCGGTAGGGCCCAGGGCGTGCGCAGTAGGCGGGGCGCGTGGTGCCCGGCGCGTGCCCTCGCTCCACCCCCAATCCCCCGCCCAGACGGTGGTCCGGGTGTCTCTCCGCGGGGCGTCCGCTTCCCCTCACCTCCCAGTGCTACAGCTTCCCGACCCCAGTGCCGTTGGAGTGACCGCAAGCGAGGCCGGGCGCTGTGTCCGACGGAGGGAAGCCGGAGGACCCGGCATCCAGGGAGAGCAGAGACTGGGAGGGCCGAGCGTAGAGTAACCCGGGGGAGCGTCTGGAGAGCCCGCTTCATCCCGCTCCTTTCCTCGCTGCCCATCGCGAGTGCAGCCAGGCCGGAGGACCGCGTCCACGCTGCCCGACGAGGGGACATGGCCACGCCGTCCCTACCCGCCGGAGCCACCACGGGCGACAGTGGTGGGGAATTGAGCTCTGGGGACGACTCTCGTGGCATGGAGTCCCCCCAGAGCCCCGAGACCGAGGCGTCCAGGAGCCTGGCAGAGCAGTTTGAGAGGGCTGCCGCGCACGTCCAAAGCCTGATTCAGTTGGCCAGCAGGGAGCAGCTCTTGTACCTGTATGCCAGGTTCAAGCAGGTAAAAGGAAAGGGTGGATAAGACAGGCATAGGCTTCCTCCCTAAACTTGTAGCAAAATGTGCGTGCTTAATGGCCGGGTGGGATGAAGTTTATGTTTGTGCTATTTTAGTTTTTTGACGCTGGAGATTAACATCGTTCTGGACCTGGAAAATACCTGTCCGCTATCCCACGAATGATTCTGATTGTTCTCTGCTTAGCGATCTTGCACTTTACTAACCTCGGAGCCTGTACGAAATGAGGATGATAACCTAAGAGTTGTCACTTGCAGTTTCCAAAGGGCAGATGACAGTAAATATGTTAATAAAAATTTTGAGATTTAAGAGAGTAGTATAATGATAAAAACATTACTATTGTGATTTTAAGACTCTTAAGTATTTGACATGTTTTGGCTGAATGTTTCTGTTAGACATAATTATAAACATCAGATAAAATAATCCCTTCCCCCCTTTTTGGTAAAGGTCTCCATGTTGGCAACCGTTGAATCACTTGATCATTATCTTTTGCAAACAAAAAGCCCCAGAGAAAGGCATATGGATAGATCAGAACTAAATGATAGTTTCTGATTTTAAGACTGAACTTTACCAGAAAATATGGAAATGTGTGAGTTACTTATATAAGACTAATTTATCAAAGAATCATTGGTTAGGCACCAGAGAGAAAAAAAAATTGCTTTATCAAAGTCAACACATACTGTTCAGCAGAACACTTGGTGTCATGTCTACAGAGACTACAAAGACGAAAAACTGTCGTGACACTTGCCCTTAAGAGACTTGCAAAGTATTTAAGGAATGTAGGTGTAAACGAGAAAAATTGTTCATGGGTGTTAAATAACAGCTCAGGAAAACTCCAGCTCTTTGGAATGCTGAATGAAATGAAGTTATGGATAATAGCTCCTTTTATTTTATTAAAATTGCCTCTTGGTATAGTTATATTTTCCCCATATATACATGCTTTAAAAGTAGTTTTGAGTACTGCTTCTTATTACATTTGTGTGTGTGTGTGTGTGTGTGTGTGTGCGTGTCTGTGTATGTGTATGTGTGCATGCATTTGAGCCATAGTGCATGTGTGGAGGTTGTAGGCCACCTTTCAGGAGTTAGTTCTCCCCTTCCAGCATGTGGGTCCCAGGGATTGAACTCAGGTTGTCAGGCTTGGCAGAAAGTGCCTTGACCCACTGAGCCATCTTGCTGGCCCACCCCCTTGTATTCTTAAACTAAATGTGCTAGAGTTGAAGCTTCTTTTGAGGACCAATGATTATTATGACCTTAAGTTAATGTGACCTAAGAGGTAGCTGCAGGCTTAAGTCCTGTTTAACATTTTGGACAATGAAATGGGAGGTACACACAAGGTGCTTGTGTTGCATATGGAATTGCATTAGTGATTTTGAGGACAAACTCACCTGTAATTTCAGAGTTGTAAACTGAACATGTACTTTTTCCATAGGATATAATTTTACTTAACAAAATCTTATATAAACTCTGTTTAGATTTGGGGTGTTTGGCAGGTAGTTTCTTGAAAGTGAAAGAAGTGAGCCTGGAATACAATTGTAAATATTTTTTGCCAGTGATAACATTTGAGTTGTCAAGTAAGAATTAGAAGTTTGAAAGAATCTGCCTGCCACCATGAGCTTAATGTTTCCCAGTACTTATGAGGGCTTTTGAGGGGCTAAGAGGTGACAGTAATGAATGTGAATGTTTGCTGATGTATCATGAAGTATACCAATATTTGGGAAATCTGAATGACTCAAGTGAGATCTTCTCTAAATATTTTATGGGCTAATATTAAAAATTAGTATAAGGAAACAATCCATTCAGATTTGTCAGTGTAACTATATAAAAATTGAGAGTCTATATCATAAATGACCTTGAAGAAACTACCATTTGTTGAATTTTGGGGTAGTGTAAAAGAATAGCTACAATTATTTGGAAAATGCTATCAAAATACCTCTCTCGTTTATAACAGTGTATCTGTGTGAAACTGAAATTCTTCATATACTTCTTCCAAGCCAACACAGAATAGTAGGTTAGATGCAGAATATGATACAGCTGTGCCAAACAGTAAAGAGACTCTTCAAAATATAAAGTGGAGCCATTCTTCTCACTAATTTTTTTGTCTAGAATTTGTATTTTTCATAATATTTTGTTATTTACTATTAGCACGTACTAGATTTACTATTTGAAAATAAATTAATACAATTTTTAAAGATCTAATTTCTTTTTTCTCGTGTGTGTTTTTGAGTGGTGTGCATGCATGTGTGTGTGTTCACATATGTGTGGGTGCACGTGTGAGTATGTACGCATGTGTATGGCGGACCACAGTAGACATAGTCTTCCTTGATGGCCCTTCACTTTATTCATTGAGGCAAGTCTCCTTTACACCAGAGTTGGCCAATATAACTAGTTTAGTTAGACAGCTTGCTCTGGGGAGCCCCTGTCTCTGGAATTAACAGGGAATGCCATGCCCACTTGGCATTTACGTGGATTCTCGTGATCTGAACTCTGTTCGTCACACTTACAAGGCAAGCACTTTAACCACTGACCTCTCTCCTTAGCTCATGATCTAATTTTGAATATGTAAAGACTGGTAGATACAATTCATAGGTACAGGCCTCGAGAGATGGCTCAGTGGTTAAGAGCTCTTACTGCTCATGCAAAAGGCCTGAGTTTTGTTCCCTGCACTCACATGCATATACATAGATAAACACACATACAGATTAAAAAAAAAACTTAAAATATACTTAAAAGCTCTTTGGGGTCTTTCATTTCTAAGACTGTAAAGAGATCATATGACCCAAAAGTTTAAGAACCCCTATCTCAAGTTCTTCTTCCAGGCCAGGCATGACAATGCCACACTTTTAGTCCCAGCACTTGGGAGTCAGAGGCAGGTGGATCTCTGTGAATTCAAGGCTAGCCTGGTCTACATAGCAAGTTCCAGGCCAGCTGGGGCTACAGGGAGACGCTGCTTCAGGAAAACACACACACACAGAATATCAAGTTCCTTTTCTATGACCGGAGAGGCTCAGTAACACCTTATAGGTTCAACCTAAGCCAAAGGGAAAGAGGAGGACCAGCTTTCTTTTATGTTTGTTAGTTTTATTTATTTTTTCTGTATTTGTCTGTGTGCATATGTGTGATACAGAGCACGTTGTGGAGGTCGGTGGCCAACTTTTGGGTCGGTTCTTTCCTTCCACCATGGGTTCCAGGGATCGAACCCAGATTGTCAGTCCTGCATGGCAAGCACTTTACCTGGTGAACTGTCACACCAGCCTTACTTTCCTTCCTTTTAAAAGGAAGATATTTGCAGAAGTCACATGGTCTCTCATATACTGTCTATATGGTAGATGAAATGATTGTAGACTGAAAGGCTCTTTAGAATCCAAGTTTTGAGCAAGATGGGATTAGAGATAACAATTTGAAAAGCTGAGAGAAAAGAAGGTATTTCATGTGATGGAATATAAGGGCAAAGCGCAGAACCAGAAATGTGGAAGGGGATGAGTAGATGGGTCTGGTTAAATGAAGACAGCAATTTAGTTTTTGTTGTTGTTGTTTCAGTCTTTTTGAGACAGGGTCTTCCTGTAGCCCCAGCTGGCCTGGAACTCTATGTAGACCAGGTTGGCCTCAAATTCATAGAGATTTGCTTGCCTTTGCCTCCCTAGTACTGGGATTAAAGGTGTGCACAACCACACCAGGCGACAACAATTTAGTTTTAGCAAAATTTGAATATGCAAGCATTGTTGGGGATCATGGAAAGGTCTCTTGAGAAGCAAACAGGTGCTCTGGGTTTTGAGTTTAAAATAGTTTCTTAGAGAAAAATACACAGAACATTCTGATACAAGGTAGAAAATGTGAAAGTGCCGTGAGGGAAATAGAATAACTGCTATTAAGAGGTCTAAGAAAGGGAGATTCCTTTTGGCAATAGCAGTCGGGCTGAATTCTGTACCTGTATGAATTTCATTTTTGCATAGTCACAGTGAAAATAACCTATAATTTAGCTACAAACGTTACTTGAGCACTAAAAGTATAGAGTCAGCTGTGGTGGTAAACACCTGTAATCCCAGCCCTTGAAAAACAGCAGTTGATTCAGAAGTTCAAGGCCAGCTTGGGCTACATGAGACCCTGTCTGAAAAACAAAAAATAAAAAATTGTTGACCACAAATAAGAGATTATTGTGGAATAGATAGGATTTAAATTATTGTTGAAACTCTGAACTTTTTTTTGTATGGCTTTTGACATCTAAATTTATATAGTAGGGTGCTTTTAAAATAGTACATTTTGTCCTGGAATTTGGGAAAGCTAAAATGCCAGTAGTTTTTATGAAAATGATTATGAAGAAACAGTATATGAATTCTGAAAATTGAACTTTAAAGTTGTTAAAAAATTGTTTTAAAAAAAGTTGTTTAAAAAATTTCATTATAGGTGGCCGGTGAAATGGCCACTTGTTGCACAAACCTGACAACTTTAGTTCAGTCCCTGGAACCCTGTAAAGGTGGAAGGAGAGAACTTACTCTGACTTCTACATACAAGCCATGGCATGTGTACCCACATATAAACATCATACACAATAATATAAATAAAAATCAAAATTCTATTGTAATGCCACTAAAGACATAATTATATTTATAATTTGTCTATTAACTAGTCTACTAGTTTAGGAATACAATTATTTGTCCCTCATATTATTTTTCTGTTTTACGGTATTGCTTAACAGTTATTTTGTGCAGTAAGCCAAAGTTGCTCGTGTGTGTGTGTATGTGTGTGTTTTGTTTTGCTTTGTTTTGATTATTCTTTGTTTTTTTAAGACAGTTTCACTGTGTATCTTTGGCTGGCCTGGAACTTACTATGTAGAGCAGGCTACTCACAGAGATCTGCTTGCCTCTGCCTCCTGAGTGCTGAGATTAAAGGCATACACTACTACACTCAGCTAGATATGTCTTTTGCAAATATTTTTTGTGACTTGTCTTTTCATTTTCTTAAAGAATTAGTCTTTTTAAATCCATTTTGGATTGTTTGGATTAAAAACGTTTTTATTAATTCTTTGAGGATTTCATACAATGTATTTTGATCGTATTCAACTCTCCTCTCCCATCTCCTCTCAGATCTTCCCCACATTTGTACCCCTCCCTATTTGTGTTCTTTTTTTTTTTTTTTTAAAGTTCATGTAATCCAAGTTGTGTTCCACAAATATTTTTGGGTGTGGGTCCATCCCCTGAAGAGTAGTCAACCTACCCACGGTCACACCTTTAAAGAAAACTTTCTCCTGGCCAGTATCAGTTACTAATAACTCCTCAGCTAGGGATGAGGCTTCCCACACCCTCCTTGCCTACCCCCTTCCTGCAGGGATTTTTGTCTGACTTGAGTTTATACAGATCTTGGGAATGCTATCACTACTGTGAATTTCTATGTAAAACTGCCCTGTTGTCCAGAAAACTCTGTTTCACTGAAATCATCTGGTTCTTACCATCTAATCCCCTCTTTCCTTGATTTTTTTTCTGCTTTTGTAAAGAATGTTAAATTTTGTTAATCTATAAATATGCAAATATTTTCTAATCTGTCGTTACTAAGCATATATAATAAATTTGAAAAGAGTAAGTTCTTAGACTTTTTTAGAAAAATAAATTGATTTTTTCCCCTTCTTCATCTAGGTCAAAGTTGGAAATTGCAATATTCCTAAGCCAAACTTCTTTGATTTTGAAGGAAAGCAAAAATGGTAAGGAATTCTTGGAATCTTTAATAAGGTTATTGGAAATGACTTAGGGGTTTAGGAATTAGAGGTGAGCAGATTAAAGAATTATTTTTATATTAATCTCTGTCTGATGTCGACTGCTAATGACAGGTGGTTGGGAGAGGGATTAAAAGAATCTGCTTTTAGCTAAGTCTCCTAAAGGACTCTTTGACATTGACATTGGTATATAGGTAGTTCATAGAGAATGTACATTCCTGCGAGAAAACTCATTTTGCTTTTTCATTTCTTAAAATTTTTTTCCTCCTATAATAGCCTGTAGTCAATTACTACTTTCCCATTTAGAGGCATCTTTGAGAAAGCAAAGAGATTGGAAGAAAAAAGGACATATATTCTAACACTGCCCTATACAAAATATGGCCTCTGGACAGTGGCCTATTTGGCAACTGTCTGTTACCCAGCAGTAAGGAGTTAGAACTTGAACCTGGACATAAGTCACTTAAGGCCACTAACCATACTCTATAGTTCAGAAGACATTTTGTTTTTTAACATGTAGGATGTTCTCAGTGCTTTGATTTACACTCTGGTACAAGTTTTCTTCTCTGTCGATAAACAGTTTGGGGGACAGTTTATTACTAGTCTAGAGAAAACCTACATGTAACTTTTACTGTGACTTGTGTTTTGTGAAATCTTATACCTTCATGATTTTTTTTCCTTACATGCTCCCTATTTATCCATTCTAAGCAACTAAAAAATGCTTAGATTTTGCAGCTGCCATTAATTACTGAAGGAGAAATTGGCAGGTATTGCTATTACCTACTCATCGATCATGTTAGTGATGGGGCAAGCTGACATCATGTGTCCCCAGGTTGATGCATTGTAAGGGACTTGCCACCTGCTTATTGGTCTTGCCAAAATATTTAATCTGTTTTTAATCATGATTGATTAATCATTTTAGCAAAAACACTGTTTAGGTAAAAAACCCAAATTGAGTGGTATTTTGTAAAATACTTGGTTTTGACTCTTAAAAATGATTATATGGAAGAGAAAGCTAAAGGTAACTATAACTCAATGCTATATGTGACTCTCGATTGGCCCCTTTTGGGAAAATGAAGTCACACAAGACATTGTTGTGACAGGCAAATCTGAACATTCTGTTTCCATGTTATACAATTTATATGATTCCTGAGTTTGAACTATCAAGAGTCAGTAAAAATAAATTTAGAAAACCTCAGAAAGGGGGCTGGAGAGATGGCTCAATAGAGGACTGAAGTTCTCCCAGCATCCACATCAGGCAGCTCACAACTGCCTGTGACTCTAGTTCCAGGGAGCCCATGCCCTCTGGCCTCCACTGGCACCTATGCACACATGGTGCACATAAACTCACACAGATACACTTACACATAAATAAAAATAATAAACAAATTTTTATATAAAAAGAACCTGCAGAAAGATCTTTTGTTCCTTGAATAGGAAGTTCTAGGAACTGCATTCTGTTTTATAGTTGATTAGGTAATAGAGAACCTGCTTGAAAGTAGAAAGAATTGTCTGGGAAAAACTAGGGAAGATTGGCTGCCTGCTAATTTATAAGATGGGAAGTACTTCTATTGGTCTGTAGATGATACAGTCTCAATAAAATACTGGACTTAGGTAAAGTGGCTAAATGTTAGATTGTCATAGTTTGTGATCTTGCAAAATTCAACAGATAGGTTGATACCATTTATGCTGCTGTATATCAATGTAAATGCATAAAGAGAGGGTTCTCCTTTGCGTAGCTCATTATCTTTGTGTCCTAAGACCCTTAGCATATATGTGTAAAATTTTAATAGTAAGAAATGTGCTAGCTGGATGTTATGATGTGGAAATACTGTCAGTTTGGGGCCAGCCTGGGCTACATAGCAAAATGCTATTTTTTTTAAATGCTGTTTCTGTAATTTGTATAGTTAATGACAGCCCATTTTGCATATTCTGTGCTGTAGGGAAGCATGGAAAGCCCTTGGTGGCTCAAGCCCCAGCCAAGCTATGCAGGAATATATTGCAGCAGTTAAAAAATTAGATCCAAGTTGGAATCCTCAGGTAAGACTTTCTAACCATTTGCCTTTCTCTCAAATACTTAAAACTAAGCTTTGGCTTGAGTAGCGTGTCTTAAGCTTTACTTTATCAAAAGATTGTAAGGTAATTGTAATACTTATCTGTGATTACTACTGCTTAAGTAGTAATCAGTTACTGATACCGAGAACTTGTCTTGATTTGTAGAGAATTTTTAGAAGTAGAAGTTGGGGCTGGAGAGATGGCTTATGGGTTAAGAGCACTGGCTACTCTTGCAGAGGACCAAGGTTCAATTCCCAGCACTAACATGGGACATAAAACAAGTAATAAAATAAAATATTTTTAAAAATTTGTTGAAAAAAAGAAATAGAAGTTAATCATGTAAGAACTTGTTTATTTTTAAAAATGAAGTTTATCTTGAGATCATCATCATCTTAGGGAAAAGAAAATTTCTTTTAGTTTTTATGTGTATGAGTGTATTGCCTATATGTGTGTAAGTGCACCCGGGTCATGCAAAGCCCATGGAAGTCAGAAGAGGGTGTTGGATTACCTGGAACTAGAGTTACAGTTATTAGCCGCCATCAAACCCAGCTCCTCTATAAAAGCAGCCAGTGGTCTTAACTGCTAAGCCATCTCTCCAGCCCCTCTTTTAGATTTTTTTTAAAAAATTTAAATTAATTTTATCAGTATGAGTATTCTGCCTGCATGTATGTAAGTACATCACATGCATGCCTGGTGCCTGAGAAGGCCAGGAGAGGGTGTTGGATCTCCTGGAACTGGAGTTACAGATGGGTGTTATCTGCCACATAGGTGCTGGGGCACTGACCCAGGTCCTTTGAAGAATAGGAGATGCTCTTAACCACTGAGCCATCTCTCCAGCTCTTCTTTTGGATTTCTCTTTTTTTTTTTTTTTTTTTTTTTTTTTTTTTTTTTTTTTTTTTGTCTTTTTGAGACAGGGTCTCCCTGTAGCCCCAGCTGTCCTGGATTCACCATGGAGACCAGGCTGGCCTCAAACTCACAGAGATCCACCTGCCTCTGCTTCCGGAGTGCTGGGATTAAAGGCGTGTACCACCACGCCCTGGCCCCATGAGTATTTTCTATGCAAATTTAAAACACTTGTTGATAGTGATACAAGATAAATAAGACATTGTTTCTGCTGTTATGTAGTTTAAAGTATAACAGAGATGTGAAAACACATGAGATAATATGTTTACTAGTACAACAAATAATACATAAATGCAAGAGAATCTCATGGAAGATTACTGTGTAATTGATGCATTGGGTACTGTTTGCTTATATATACCCTGTCTTTCTGGTAAACTTATCAAAGGACATCTAGAAAGATTTTAGTAAAGATAGGGTTGCTGTTTTACTTTGAACTATTTTGAAAACAATTTTTAATTAAATTTACTTATTATTTTGTGTGTGTGCCTGTGTGGGTGGAGCACAGGTGGGAGTTAGAAGACTTGTGGAAGTCAGTTCTCTCCACCATGTGAGTCTCGGGGATCAAGCTCAGGTTGTCAGGTATGGTGGCAGGCTCCTCTACCAAGTAAGTGGTCTCACTGACCCTTGAAATAGTTTTTGAAAACCTGGTTAGTAGGTGTTATTTAGGATAGAAGTTGCACCATAATGAATGCAAGTGCAAATGATTTTTTTAAGTAAAAATATTTTGGGCAAACTTTTTAGTAATGAATGAATTAAAAACTTTTACATGCTTTGCAATAATTTTTTTCATGGGCACATAGTTGTTACCAGTGTGAAAAAAAATTATTGCATCAATCATGGAATCTAAAATTGCAGAGTTGGAGCTGTAGAGATGGCTCAGCAGTTAAGAGCATTGGCTCCTCTTCCAGAGGACTTGTGTTCTATTCCCAACACCCACATAGCAGCTAACACCCGTCTGTAACTCCAGTTCCAAGGAATCCAATGCCCTCTTGTGACTTCTGCAGGCACTGCACCCATGTGATACACTTACATACATGCAGGCAAACCACCCATACACATAAAACAAAAAGAAAAAGCCAGGCGTGGTGCATGCCTTTAACCCCAGCACTTGGGAGGCAGAGACCAACTCACTCTGAGTTCAAGGCCAGCCTGGTCTACATAGTGAATTCCAGGCCAGCTAGGGCTACAGGGAGACCCTATCTCAAAAAGACCTAAATAAATTAAATAAATAAATAAATAAATAAATAAATAAATTAGAAAAATAAAAACTTAAAATTGAAGATTTGTTCAGAACCTCAAAAGATTATATATTTTGCCTTAGTAAACTGTATCTTAGATGTACAAAGAGTAAGGGGTGGCAATAAAAAGACTTCAATGATATCACTGCCTTTGGAAGTCATGGAAAAGTCCCCCTCCCCTTGTGATGTACATGAGTATTCACTATTTTCCATTTTATTATCTTTTCTAAGACTTCATGTATGCATATGTCCTAAAGGCTCTGCAGGATTCAAATCTGAAATTCAGTGATTAAATAGGTGCCCCCCTGAACTGAACTCAGCCTGAAGAGATGTGGCACAGTACTTTAAAAAACAATTATTATTTTTATTTTATGTGTGTGAGTGTATTGTCTGCTTGTATGTAAGTGCACTCATGTAGTGCAGTGCCCACAGAGGTCAGAGAGAACTTCAGAATCCCCTAGTACTGGAGTTATTAGTTACTGGTTGTTATTAGCTACTGGTTGTTAGCTACTATGTAGGTACTGGGAATCGAACCAGGGTCATCTGGAAGAACAGCCAGTGCCCTTAACTGCTGAGCCATCTCTCCAGCCTGTGGCACAGTGCTTTTAAACAAATAAACTTTGAAGTAAGTAACTTTATGTAGAGTACTTCCAGGCCTGGTCACTCTGGTCTCAGTTCTTCTCTTTTGGCTTACAGTTGACTAGTTCTGATTCTTGGCCTGTGAAGGTGTATACAAATTCTGATACACGACAGAAATTTTTATTTTTTCTCTTTAGTTTCAATAATGTAATTATTCAGTAAAATTCTATTAACTGTGACTCTTACAAATGCTTGCAGATTCTGTATGATTAGATAGTTCTTTTTTGAAAAATTTTTATTCTTTGTGATCTTCATACAATGTATTTTGATCATTTTTTCCCCTCCCTCAACTCTTCCTAGATATACTCCCACCTTTCTACCCACCCAATTTTGTGTTCTTTTTTTCCCTATATTGAATGCAGTATGTTGCCCAGATACTCTGGGTGTGGACCCTGGATTATGGTTGAGCAAGGGTCACACCCTTAACAAAAACTGACTCTTCTTTTCTCAAAAGCTACCAGATGCCAGCAGGTTCTCAGCTAGGCTGGGTGGGGTGGGTTGCTCTTCTTTATGAAATCCAAACAAGTCTTAAGGTACTTTTTAAAAATACCTAAATCTCACTTATTGAAGCTACAGAGATGACTTAGAGATTAAGAGTACTTGCTGCTCTTGCAGAGGATCAGAGTTTGGTTCCCAACCCACATCAGGTGACTCACAATTGCCTGTAACTCCAGCTGCAGTGAATCTGGTGTTCTCTTTTGGCCTCAGCAGGTACCCACATGCGTGCACACACATGTACACACACACACACACACACACACACATTCATGCAGAAGTTTTTTTTTTTTTTTTTTTTAAATTGTGGTTGGAGAGATGACTCAGTAGTTAAGAGCACTGACTTTTTCCAGAGGACTTGAGTTTGGTTCCCAGCACCCACATGGCAGATAACAACTGTCTGTAACTCCAGGTTCTAGGCTCTCTTCAGGCTCCACAGTCATTGCACAGCACAGATGCATTTACATACATGCAGGCAAAACATTAATACACATTAAAAAATGTTTAAAAATTAAAAAATAGTCCAGGCATGGTGGGGCATGCCTTTAATCACAGTACTTGGGAGACAGAGGCAGGCGGATCTCTGTGAGTTCAAGGCCAGCCTGGTCTACATAGTGAGTTCCAGGACAGCTGGGGCTACAGGAAGACCCTGTCTCAAAAAAGGCCAAAAAAAAATAATAATAAATAAAAAAAAATCTTTAAATCTCACTTATTGAACATGCATTTGAATAAGCCAGACAGAATCAATGGGACATTCATGTTCTTTAATGATTATTCAATACTTTAAATAATAAATTTTAAATTTAATGTATTTTTAAAATTTTAATATATTATTTAAAAAGTTTAATGATAAAAGAATATGTAATACCATCTTATAATGGTTTTTATTATTGTTATTTTTGTTGTTGTTTTGGGACAGGATGTCACTATATAGCCCTGGCTAGCCTGGAACTTGTTATGTAGACCAGGTAGGCTTTGAACTTACAGAGATTCTCCTGCCTCTCTGCCTCCTGAGTGCTGGGATTAAAGGTGTGTGCCACCACTCCTGGCATGGTTATTTTTAATTTTATTATTTGTTGGTGATGATGGGGATTGAATATAATTCTTTTAATATATTGTTCTAGAATCATTTTAACATTAGAATCTTGTAAACAGGAATTTTATGTTTCACATACATTTTGTGGTATGTGTATGTGTAGGTAGGTAGTTGTGTATGCAGGTGTAGTTTGTATATACATTTTAGATTTTATACACAGTCTGATCTGATCCTTTTTTGACTTTTTTTTCCTTTGCTTTTAGGGTGGTAAGAGGTACATCACAACTTCAATATCAGGAGAGATTTGACATTCAGTTAGTTATCATTTAAGTTAAAAGATCATTTCATTGGCTAGGGGTGAGCTTAATGTTAGAGAACCCCCTGAGCAAGTCTAAGGTCGTAGGTTCAATTTCCAACATCAAAACAAAATAGAAAAGAATACTTTTCTCTTGATATTTGCTTCTAAAAAATGAAATAATACTTATATTCTGATTGGACTTAGGTTTATATGTGTGGGTCCTTTGAAACTGTCATACAAATCATAAGAATTAGAAAATATTATTATCTGCATTTTAAAAGTTAGGAAATTAAGGCAGGAGAGGTTCACTAACTTGCTTAAAATTGACAAGTAACAAATGATGGCACTGAGCTCTGAGTCAGAACCTTACTACACC